GTCGTCCTGGTTGTGGTCGCGGTCCTGGTTGTGTTGTGGTGGTTGTTGTTGTTGCTGCTGTTGTTGCTGCTGTTGCTGCTGTTGCTGCTGTTGCTGCTGTTGCTGCTGTTGCTATTGTCGTTCCTGTTCCTGTTGCTGTTGCTGTTGCCGTCGTTGTCCTCGTTGCTGTCGTTGCTGTTGTTGTCGTCGTTGCGGTTGTGGTTTATCATGATAGACGCTTATGTGGGCTACGACTACGAGGCAACACCACCTGTGACGATTCGGGCCCCTGCTCCATTCATTGGAGCGGCCCCAAGAACACAAACAGAATGAGCCCTCGACCTCGCCCAACACCGAAACAGGATCCCGTTGTCTGCCTACAGACTCCAGTTCTTCTAAATGAGTCTTGTAGCTCATATTGAGAATCTGCCTCTAACTGACAATACATGTGCTGAGTTCAATTCTTTGGAGGCTCCGGCTGCAACCCTCAGCCCCCATCCTGCATCCAGAGAACTCGTACCAGTTGCATAGGAGACACATAGTCACAAATAGTCATCTTGTGCGACGCAACAGAAGGAGCGCACACAGTTGCAAGCACAATGGAGCACGGCGTCGCAACGCGTTGCGATAGCGAGAAAGCGAAATAGATGAGCCCTTTAATGGCCGTAATGTCTGTAACTTAACGGTCGAAGTACAATTGCCGTTGCAGTTCGTATTACCATTGCAGTTAGTCGTAATTGCCAGGACTAGTGCTATATTGCTACTACTAACTACTATTTTGTTATTGTTCTGTTTTACCCGGCCAAATATTGCTATTCCAGTTACATGGGTAGTTGTCAAAATTAGGGTCCCTTTTGGGGTACCCTAAATATCAGGTGCCGTACTATTTTAGGGAACCAAAAAGGGACCATAATTTTCACAACCACCCACATATATAGTATCAAGGGATGATGTTCCAGAGCAGACTTGCGAGGCCACGACGACCCGAGGTCGCTCTCGCCAGGGTTTGCCTTCTTAGGGTGTAGCGAGTTGGGGTTGAGGGTATAGGGCATAGGGTTTAGGGTTTGGGGTTTAGGGTGAAGGGTTTTGGGGTCGAGGGTTCAGGGCTCAATAAAGATTTAGGGTTTTGGGGGTTAGGGGCTTTAGGGGCGGTGGCAGAATGAACTTGCTGTGGCCGCTGGGATTTAGGGCTTGAGTGTTTCAGGGTTCAGGGCTTCAGTGCTGGGTTTTTGCTGTAGGTCTCAGGGTTGAGGTGTTGCGCCTGTTGTTGGTCTCGGTGTAGTCCTAGCTGAAACCCAAACCCCTGAAACCTTGAAGCTTTTAACCCTACTGTATGCCCTCTACCGTAGGGGTAAGGGGCTTGTGGGTTCGAAGCCTCCAGCAAGCTTCGCATGCAAGTGGGATATTGGCAGGGTATGGCTTAGGGTTTATGGCTTATTAAGAGTCAGGGGTTTAGGTACCGTCAATTCGGGTTTCAGGGATTGGCATTTGAGTTTGCGAGAGTGTTGAGACAATAGCCTGTAGCAGCTGTGAAAGCTTTGGCCCAAGCCTCTTACAAGCCCTGGCGATCCCAGAGATTCCAAAAAGTCCCAACATTGATTTCAGGATGGCTTTAGGAGGGGCTTCGGGTTTAAGGTTTAGGGGTTTGGGGTTTAGGGTTTAAGGGCGAGGTAATGTAGATGCCGGAGTAATTGCCGATACAGCTCCTCAGAGTTCCTAGTATAGCTGTACAGCATAATATCCACCCCCAAACCCTACTCCGCTGTATTACTCATATGTGGGATTCCCAAAGAAACACCACATCTCGGCTTTAAAGCTTCATTCGGTCTGGGTTGTTGCTTTCGCTGAGCAGGGTCCTCCTTGAAGGTTTAGTTTTTAGGTTGCTTCTAGGGTGAAGGGCTGATAAGCTTTTTGGCTTTGGGAGCTCCATAATCCCCTAAAGCCATCAACAATCCTCAGCCCTGAACCGACTAAACCTCAAGCCTGCATAATTCAGGGTTTATAAACCCTATAGACCCTAAACATTATAGGATGTGGAAGGGAGCCCGAGATTTCTCTTCCTCGCTTGTGGTGCAGGCCTGGTACAATTCGCGGAGATTGGAATGCGGATCTCCGCTGCAGCTCGTCGAAGTGCTAAGAAGTATATTTAAATCTTACACATGGAGTGACATTTAATATTTAGGTGTAATGCATTGGAGAGAGGTCGTGAAGAACTATAGGAACCTGAAGAAGAATCCTTGGATTTTTATTGGGCTATTAACCCTAGCAGTATTCAGGGTTTAACTAGGTTCCCTACATTACATCTGCTGCGCTTCAGTCGTGTTGTCTTCAGGTCCTCTCGGATCTTAGGTTCTTAGGCTTCTTGGGTGAGATTCGGGCAGCGGTGGAAAGCTTTGAGGTTGCTTCTACGGTTTCTATATAGGCCTCAGGGAGGACATGGGAATTTTGAATACAGGGATTTAGGATTCGGGTTTAGTTTAGGGTGTAGACTTCATGGTTGTTTGTATACAAACACAAAGCTACAAAGCCCTAGCATCGGAGTTGGCAAGGCTCAAGATTCTGCTTAGGTTCTACGAGTGAGTGGGTTGCGTGTCGGGGAGCAAATCAGATTTCAAAAGCACGCAAGCCGCAAACAAACTACTGTCTCTCTGTCCGTCTATCTATGTGCATATATAACTATCTGTCTGCCTGCTCCTCTTCCGAAGGTGTATCTGATTACCTATCCATCTATCTACCTATGTATCTATCTATCTACGTCGATAGCTAGCTGTCTTACAATTATCTAGCCTTGCATCTGTCGATCGATCTGCCTTATTAGTCTAGCTACCCAGCTATCTACTTATCTACTATCTACCTTTCTGTCTATTAGCCTATCTACCGGAAAAAATCCATCCGTGCAACTCTATCTACGTACCGTTCTATCTAGCTACCAGTATCTGTCCGTCTTGCTACCTCTATCATTTTTCTATCTACCTATCTATCTTTGAACTTATCCGCTTTTCTGTATGTCTACCGATCCGTCTATCTACCTCTCTGTCCATGTTCCTACCTAGTTTATATGTATCTATCTGTCAACCTACCTATCTGTTTATCTACATATCCTGTTTGTGTCTACGTGCGCGTACGCGTGGTGTCTTAATCGTCTGCCTGCACTGTGCATGCTGTCGGTATTCAAGCCGTCAGGCAGGCAGGCAGGTGTCAGGTAGGTAATTAGCTATACGGCCATGTCAACAGCTTCTTAACAAGCCACTGAGAAACCCCGCGCCCTAGTGCTGGACATGCCATATCCATTTCCCAGCACATGTGCTGGATGCTTGAGCGGAGTTGTTTATGTAGCATTCAGCCTAACTGACGTGCCGAGAACCTCAAGATCTTGCTTCAGGTGAAGAGGACGAGGGGCCCCTCTCCGAGGATCTCCAACGGGTTTTTTACAGGCATTTGCTTTCGGGTTCTCGAGTTCAGGACTTGGCGTAAATTTGCAAAGCTCTCTTTTTGCGCCGAGCTGAAGGCGCATGAGGCCTCCTAGAAACGAGACCCCTCACGCCCGAAGCATCCTCTCCTACATTTACATGAAGGTATAATCGCATCCAAACAGAATCCGGATTAAGACATGCTTATAAAGGCCGCCCACCACGCATCCATGTCCTGAGTTACATAGGCCCAGGAACCAGATAATGGAGGGAGTCTGCAATTAAAGACAGTGCCACATCATTCAGCGTTTAAGGCTGCAGCATAGGAAGTAGAAGCTTGCGTCATTCTCAGAGTCTTCGTGGGAGGACCCTCAACCCCATAAACCCTGCGCCTCTAGTTGTAGGCGGCCTCTCCGGTCGTCTTAGTTAACCCCCCAGAAGGCCCAATACCCCTCAATTGAGGAATATAGCTTAAACCATAATATGAAGCCCGATATAACTTAAGCCATGTTCCTCAATTACGGGGTATTGAGCTCTCTGGGCCAGAAGCTGCTGCTACGCCAACCTCAGCACCGCAAGATCAGAAGCCGTAAACAATGACCCAAACCTTATCACAAACCCCCTCTACACCCCTAAACCCTAAACCCTAAACCCTAAACCCCCCTAAACCCTAATCCCAATAGTCCCGCTAGAGATGCCATTAAGGCGCTTCAAAACTCTAAGCCCGAAGCCTTTCAGAGCCCTGGCCCAGAGGCTAAGACCTTTTCAAGGAACCCGGCCCTTTAGGGTTTAGGGTTTAGGGTCACCCCGGAGTCCTAAACCCGATGGTATGTTCACCCTGCCCGATTGATCCCCTGTGAGGTACTTTGAAGCCCTAAACCCTACCTGGAACCTCTGGGGTGTCATTAAATCCGCCTGGCTGTTTTGCAGTGGTTGTTTCAGTCATCGGGGGTATAGAAACGCCTGCAAAGGATAGAATTGCCTTTGGGATTTTGGGTTTTGTACAGGGATGAAGGATTTCACTACTTGGGTCTGATTGGGAAACCTTACCCTGTGTTCAAGCAGGTTGAAATACATGTGCACTCCCTTGTACGTCGAGCATGTATAGAACTTCAGAACGCCGGCAGAAACTAGCGCTAGATGAATCTTCATGAAAAGGCCACAAGACTTTGTCACAACTTTAGAATCCCGGATCGAAACCCTATAAACCCTATAGGCCCTATAAACCCTACATACATATATATATATATATATATATATATATACAGTAGAAGCCAGAAAGTTGGAACATGGCTTTAGGAGGATTAGTGCTAGGATCCCTTATATAGTTTACCTTATAGGGTCGTGAGGATAGTGATGTTACAACTGTCTGGCTTCTACTGTATATATACCCTTGCCCCATGGAGCACCTCGTCGAAGCTTCGCGAAGAATGCCGAGGACCGTGCTTTGCAGGTGTTTCAATTATGGAAGGGTTCAGGCTGTAATCATTTACGAAGTAGGGGCTTGCATATAAAGTTGAACATACTGACCACACACTCTTTCAGCCGCTCAGGCAAAGCAAACGATCACTCACATCACTTGCCATCTTTGCAACAATGTTGCAACACCGCTCAACGCTTGCCTCGAGCTCGCTGTTTGCGCCCAGTTCTAGCACCCGAGGGCTGTGGTATTTCTTGTTTCCAGCGGCCCAGCACGAAACCAAATTTGAGAAGATAATGCTGTAAGACGTGTTTCTCGAATAAGTTTCTCTTGTATCCGATCCGTCGAGATTGTCGTGACACTCGGCCTATAAAGTCCTCCGACATACTGCAGTCCCAGGTCGCTGGGTTCAAAGTTGCTGCCAGATTTCCTTGCAGCGCCTTTTCCAAATCATGTTTGAAATGCGCGAGGGCGTGATATTTGGGTGTTAACCCAAACAGAGGGATCTTTCGCAGCAAACAAAACTGCGCCAGCTGAGAATAGCCTCGCAAGAAATCACGTAGGGCCTGGCGAAGGGAGTCGGTGCAGCTTTGCACCATCCACAACGAGTGCCCATGGATTCCTTGAGAGAAATGTAGGCCTCCAGTCAGAGCCAGTTCCATCCAGTAACACGCTCGGCATGTGGTAAAATCATGGCCCGTGACCGGGCTCGTTCCTCGCACACGAAGTTGCACCAACAAGACCCGCAGCCACTTGAAAAGCACGATTGTGTCCGAGCCTTTGCATCCGAGCCAGGGAAAAGATCCTCCACTTGCAAAGTGCATCTTCTTCTTGCTGAAGCTTCGCAAGCCCCCCACATGCAAAGACGTTGTTTCCAGGAAAAGTTGAAACTGTTTCCAGGCTCTTGCGAGCCTGTTTTCAACAGACTTTGATTCACCCAGAAGGTCGAAGGCACCGAAGTTGCACAAAAGTAGAATTGCAGACGCCAGAAAATTACGTGCCACGCCTGAAACAAGAGGACCCTCTATATAGGAATTCTAGATCCGTTCGAAGTCACACACCTATATATATGTATGCACGTATGTACACACTAGAAAAATTAGCTTTATCTACTAAATACATCTATAAACAGGTCGCTACATAGCCCGAGTAAACAAGAACCTTAAAAGAAACTGATGTTTCTGGAACCAAGAATCCTAGGCGGAAGACGTGGAAAGGATCTCTGCGAAAGAATTGAAGAACTCCCGATGGAAAGGAGCTCCAGTTGTCGAAGGGCATTTGCACAAAACTCGGCGCTGATTCCCACGGCGCAGACTTGCCAATGGTCCTTGTCCAGAGAGCATTGGGATTGGAGTCCTCAAAAGGGCTCTCTTGAAACCCCGCTTCACATTCGATGCAAACAGGAAGATCTTTTGCTCGTCCAACATGTTCGTAGGACCGTTTCAGGCCAGCATCACGCAAGGAAGTGCAATGGAACTCGAAGTCCCCTTTCATTCCCATGATGCCAATGTAAAACCGCCTGCCTTGGACCAAAAGTCCTGTCTCAAAGATCTCACGAAGTTGGGTCGACAAAGCTTTGATAATGTCCGCCAAAAGCTCCGGAGGCCATTGCTTGCTTGGATAGGCAGCAATGAGGAATCGGCTCAAATAAGAGTGGCCCTTCCCATTGCAGCTTTGCCCAGTTTGAAGCACCGGTTGTTTACACCTGCACAGTTTTGGTTCACCACGCAAAAAGCCCAAGGCAGGCTCCAGGCTGAATATCTCCAATGGCTGCCTGGGGTGTGCGTAGTTGTCTGTCCTATATACAGATCTATCTACATACATGTATATACAATAGATGTATACATATATATATATATGGTATGTAGTTTCAACTACACGATATGGGGACCTCTATATAAGAGTTGCTAACCATAGAAAAGAAATGACTACTTGAAACACGTCTTAACTAAAGTCTTAGTTGCTTCTTCTGTGTTCTCCCGCCATCACCGTGGAGGCTGATTGGTATTGTCCAACGCAGGCGTTCAGCAGGTGCCGAATAAACAGCATGCGATGGATGCATTTGTCGATATCGGCCCCAAAACATTACCAGTCCACGATTAGCAGCAGGGTCGGATGCAGCATACCCTCCCAACAGAAGTTCAGGATGATTGTTCAATACATAGCCCAGGACGTCTTTCGGGGCCAGGTAAGGTAGAGTGAAGCATTCAGGACCAAGCACCAAAGTATGATGTGACAATGGGATAGTAGGTCGAAGACCAAACTTTCCAACAATCTTTTCCACATGTCTTGCAGAGTTCTGATCGGACAACCCTACATCAATACCCAAGTCTTCGCGTGTGGCCTCCACACCTTTTTGAAGGACCATCGCCCTCTGATGACCCGTCACCGAGCTAGCAGGCGCCTTGGCTTTGAGCAGATCGATCGATATGTGCATAACCATGTGCATGAGCTTTGACAGGCATGTATCTATATACATAGACACAATTGCCAGCATACATACGTGAAACACATGTATACATATACATATATATATATATATACAAGCATATATACATATATATATATATATAAACACATGTGTCAGTGTACACGTGTATGGAAGTTCATGCACACCCACGTATAGACACACATATAGACATATATACATATAAATATATATCCATATGTATATATATATATGTGCATATACATATATGTGTTTGTGTATATATATATATATATATATATATATATATTATGTGTATGTGGACGTCTATACATGCACAGCGTCACCATGTAAGAATATGATGGTGTCTAGAGCCCTAGCATGGATCCATGGTTGTTTTCACTATCACGATCAAACATCAAGAACGGTTATAGAAGGTTGAATGTGCAGATTTCAAGATTTCGGAGCGACACAAAGCACCGTATAAGAAACTCTGTATTGTACTCAGTTGGTTTGTATGCACATGCACAATGAAGATGGGACATGGCAGCACATATCCTGCGCAGCAAGTTGCTCCATCAGCCACATTCTCCAAGAGGTTCTCCAGTATAGGCGTGATCTGAGGAGGCTTCGAGCTCGTACCTCCACAACAAAACCGATGGAGCTTGCACTGGAAATACTAGATAGTATAGTGTATGCATTGTAATTTGTAATGTTTGCAACAGAGGGCTGTACTCTGTACTCTTTTCCTGTTTCCGGGCACCGAAGCAGTATAGAGAGCATCCTTTCACAGAGAGGCCGGTGGCCCACACATGAATTAGTAAGTCTTCTTGACAAATTTGGGCACGCAGCCGTGCATCTCACACGGGGTGCCGCACAAGCCAGTCAGCCTGTTTCATCGGAGTTGATTAAAATCTTCTAGCGTGATGGTTACCATCATCTAGGGGACCTACGGGGAGCTTGCGCAGGAAAAGCAGGACAGGACCTTAATGCATGGATCTAGAAAGTTTCATGTGTATGTACACAGCATCTTTCGGAAAGACACATATACAGCCCACTTAGATAATTACCCAACACGCAGAAACCTGAATTGAGCTCTACATATAACTGCAGACTGTCCTTGCCCGCACCATTCCCCGAACCTGGCTCAAGCCAGCTCACTCGACCTTCACTCGCTTTGAGGTGTCCGCATCGTCTTTCTTCTTCTGCGACCGAAGATACACGATCATCGGCCCACACCCCGTGCTGAAGCTGAGGGCTTCCACGCACCTGAGCTGGGTGTTCTCTGGGGGTTCAGAAGAGACGTCTATCAGGTGTTATATTCGGATTTTCATTAACCTGGGATCCAGCAGGAAACTAATTAAGGTCCTATCGTCGATCTTTCTTCGTAGACTAGTATGTGTGACTGAAGGCGTATACACGACCTGCTATGGAACGGGCTTTTGTAGAGTTCCTGACATGTGGATGGAGTGTATAGGCGGGATTGGGTTAGTTATGTGTAGATATTCCATGCATGGGCTCCCCATCTACAAAGCTTTTTTAGCTAATTGCGGATGTAATATAGCGTCACCTGCAGAATATGTACAAGTACACATATACGAGCACACAACGACGGGGTAGTTTCAGGCCTGTGTTTCCTTGCATTCTGTTCTAGTCTGTATGCTAATATATGTATGCATACAGGTAGCTGGATAATTAGATAGTACATAGGATCTTAAATCTATCACACTGAGAAACATCAACAAAGCCTCGATGGGTCGCTCTCTCTCTCTCTATATATATATATGTACAGATATATACACGTACGACATAATTACTAAACATCGTGCTATATCCCTTAAGTTGATCCTGAGCCCTCTATATACATATATATACACACACAAACTCTATAGACCTTAGTTTATAAAGCCCTATATATATGTAAGGCTATATATATATATATATATATATATATACATACATAAACCCCAAACCTGCAAAGCGCGAAGCCCTAACAACATCAAAAACCCTGAAATCTAAAACCCATTCAATCCCTTGTGCTGCTTTCTCCATGCACTGCTTATACGTCCCTTGTCAGACTCAGGTTCAGAGTTGTTTTGGAGGGTTTGGTTGGGTTATTTTGAGTTCCTGAAAAAGCTCCTTCTAAAGTTCATCAAACAGCTCTAGAAACGACTGACAAAAAAAAGGTTCAATCTCTATATGCCCATCCTCGATCGTAGATATGTGATGCAGAGTAGTCAGTGACTCTACCGAGCTTCTTGAAGTGGTTTTCTTGCTAAGCTGCTACGGTATGTATGTAACTCGTTTGTTGTACAGGGACCCATTTCAGGGTTGTAAAAGATTCTAGAGGTCTTGAGAGGGCTTGGTGCAGGCATTTTCTCACTAGAAGAGGCTTTCTTCGCTTTCAATGCAACTAAATAGGGCACTCATGTTGGCACCGAGCACAGGCACTCAGTCAAGGCTTTTCGGGAAGCTAGATGGTGGCCCACATGTTCGCAGCTAATTAATTAGCCTTCCAGCAATCTGCCAAGCTGTGAAAAGCATCTGTACAGACAACATGACAGGTGGGAGTATGATGCATATGCTAATTAATTGCCGCGGGGTCGACTCCTCTGTCCGGTATGCAGCGCATGCTGCACGACATAACAAAAGAAAGGGCCAGCACTCTGCATGTCCATACCTTCCCCACCCAAACGGATATTGCGGAAGCCTGGAGCATTAAAGAATATCCGAATCAGAGCTGCCTCCAGGAGACAGATCACATCAGCATTAGAATGCACATGCAATATGGTCATCCTCTCCCAGGGCACCTGCTTGTCGTGCTTATACCCATAAGCAGTGTGCAGCCATCTAGCCACGGGGTCTCTTGTCACCCCAACCTTGTATAAAGCCGGGTTCCTCGAAGAGATGCTCCTGATGCAAATCTCAGCATGCGTTAGTATGCTGGAGGCCAATCTGGATTTGGGCAAGTCGAACATGATGGCTCCCTGTAAAAAGTTTGTTTGCTCTAACTGAGGAATGATCTCATCGCGAAGTCGGGATAGGGATTTCTCTTCTTCGGATAGCTGTTGTACCCATTGCCAGGGATCCTTTGTTCGTATAAGCCTCGTCAGCCCAGGCTTATGCACTACCAGCGGCAGCTCATGCACTGGCTCTACATGAGGACGCTGTATGCAATCTCCTGACTGGCTTTCTGCAGATGCAGCTTCGGAGTCCAGGCAGTCACACACAGGTTGCTGGGTTTTCCAACCCAGTAGGAGTGAAGCGGTATCCTCCTCATCATCCCACAATACAGAAGCCAAGCTTCGCAAGCGCTTCGTCATGTCGGATTTAAGATACGTGGCCGCACACCAACAGGAGCGACTTAGCAGCCTCTGTCATCCATGGCTGGATGGGTGACTAGGCCTGAATTAACGAGACCCACAGAATAGGTTGCAATTGTGCTACATAGTTGCCAACATCAGTTTGCAACCTGTGTAGACACAGAGACGACGACACGTATACGTAAATGTATAGATGTACACTGTACATATTTAGCAACATTAAACAGCTAGACCTGGAAACCACAGCTTGGCTATTGAAAGTAGTGTCGACAATCGTATAGGTACAGCCTCCTGCAGAAGAGCTGGGGTAGCCGAGAATTACACTTGCACGTCGTATATATTCTGTATATATGCACAGCTAGGCTTTGCATATACAGGGACCCAGCACTATCTGCTTGCAAAGCCATGAAACACTGCATTTGGAGCCGCGATTCATCCTATGGAGCCGCATATACAGACGCAAGGCCTCTAATTCCACATAGTCCGATTGAATGATAGCCAAGTAGCTGAGATCCTAGTTGCAGTGCCCTCCTGAGCTTATAGATGGATGCTACACGCAAGAGTCACCATCCCGGCGAAGGTGTTAATTTGTTTATACAACTCTAGAAAGATCCTGGAATCCTATGATGCACGGTGGACCCAGTAACATCTGACTGCGCGATCACCCCCCAAACTGCAGCCTATAAACTCTAATCCTGATCGAAGCCCTCATTTTCAAGCCCGAAATACCTTTCAAATTGGTCCACTGCTGTCAGGCTGCTGCTTCTTGGCCACGTCGAACAACTTCTTGATCTCGCCCTGCTGCCTGGGATGCGTCAGGGGTCTTCCTCTGCATTATGCGGGCGCCTGGAGGGATTCAGCTAAGTTGGATTTGGATTCGAGATATGTATATATATATATATGTATTTATATAGGACTTCGATCGGAGTTGACAGTGCATACAAGCTGGATGCAGCACAATTAGTGGGTCAACTTGTATACATTGTTCTGGTCTTCGTTCGATATCAGCCGATATGGGGTTCCTACAAAAAGTCCTGTCACCCAGGATGCTGAACACGTGGTTGACTATTATAAGGCTACCTGTTTATTTAGCTTGCACAGGACGCTCTGGATAGAATTATGCAAAAAAAGGGTTCCTGTGGCAGCTACGGGCACGATATGCTTTACATTTTATATTCTAGACTTTTACGAAGATAACTGCGTATACAATGGTTTGCCAGGACTCTATCTCTCTCGATCCAGCCACTTGGGTCCAGGTTCATACAGCTGATATTGAGTTTATTGTTGGTGTGAGAAAATTACGAATTATGTAGGGTTTATACAGGATTGCTATATAGGGTGCGGGCGTTGTTACTGGGGGATCTTAGTGGGTCGGATGTCAAAGAGGCTTTATAAGGTGACTTTGGGTTGTCACTTGGTTTTGAGCTTTGCAGACTCTGACTTTGGAGTTTCAAGTGATCGAGGCCTAGCCTCATGACACGGAAGGACTGCCTGCAAATACCAGGACAATGTTTGCCGGCACTGTGACAACTTAGGCAGACAACTAGCTAGCGCCTTAAATACGTTGTGCATCCATTATGGAACCCCTACAGGACCCCTCGATAGAGACCTGAGTAAACCGGGTTACAGTATAGAGGGTCTACATCTAATAATTGGCTACAGTGCATGGTAAGCTTTGAAAAGCTAACTTGACACTTCCAGCAGCCGGGCCATCAGTACCCCAATTAAAGCGAGAGTACATAGAAGTCCATTCGACCGTTGTATGTGGACATATATATATATATATAGAGTAGTCTACTGACACATGATACGAAAGGCAAGGTCGCTAGAGTATACATGTGCATGTACATATATGTGTATCAGGACACATGTCTAGCCATATATAGGCATGTATGTTATGCAAACCACAACGAGGTACTTGTCCAAGCTGAGATATATGAAGCCCTCACAACCAGAATATGTAGATATGCGTCTGTATATACAATATATATCCATATACACATATACTTGCATACATGATGTATCACCATATATATATATATATGTATATATACACTTCCACTGTATGCAGTGCATGTACACAAATGCACATGCGCCTTCCCACTGCTATATCTTCCCATGCATGCCCCTGAAGTGGGTACATATACTATACAAGCATACAAGCTCTATCACAACCTATTGTTTCGAAAGTCGAGGGGCTCCAGGCTGAAGCCTACATCCTGAAGCACACTTTCCGACTGCTTGTGCTGGATCTTTTCGGAAGTCTCATCCAGGCCCTTGAGGATGGTGCTCGCTTTGGTCAGGATCCTTATACACAGGTACATTCCATGGAACACACCAATTAATGCACATAAAAACACAGGAGTTCTCAACATCCCATCTCCTAGCTGCTGCCTATTCTAAATGAAATCCAGTCTCTTGTCTGTCTTCTCGCTTTTCTTGAACTGTTCCAGTTGGTCCTTAACACCCTGGATCTTAGCATTCCATTTCCCCAAGCATTGCACAACCTTCACGATGTAGGAGGAGGGCAGCCCGTCCGCATCCATATCCGGAAAACTAATGGATTTAATCCTCTGCTTGACGTCGGATTCCCGGTCCGCCCCGGCGACATTTTTGTCGTCGCCTGAACACAGACGCGCACACACACACACACACACATACGATATCTGGTATGTATGCATGCATTTAGGATGGCACTGCATATTGCACGACCTCTACACACGTGTGGCAGCGATTTCCCAGGGGTGCATCCGGGGCCTTTGGGTCCTCCATCACCGAGGCCCCATGAGTGGCTGAAGACGTCCAAGTCCTTTTCGTTGTCACTCTCCTCGAACTCCGCATCGCTGTCCACTTCCTCATAGATCTCCCGCTTGCGCTTCCTCATCTATACACCACTACTTTAGTATGCATGAGACATGTCCAGGAATCTACTCTTGAACGAACACATTTATCTATCTATCTAGAACCAGCTTCCAAGAGAGGGAGAGCGAGGATGTGTACATCATCCAGTTTAATGAATCAGTCAATCAGTCAAGAATCAGCACCTTGGCTTCCACTGACTTTTCAAGCCAGTAAAGCTTCACGTCCGGCTCGTACCTGTCCCGCCTGGCCCAGGCACAGTTAAAGCAAGCATCGAAAAAACACGACACGCGTGGGACATGTGTGTAAAATTCACTTCAGATGTACACACAGAGCGACACGTGGTTGCGTACCATGTTCTCGTATGTACATGTACATATTGTTGTTTTATAGAGCAGATGCATGGAACATGTAGAGACGTGCATGTTTGGATTCTAGACAACACCCATGTAAATAGTATACATAAACTAAAGGATTGCACACATCTGCACGTACATACATATATATATACATAGTTGAACTTAAGTTAAAATGCATAATACATATACACATATATAAACATGTTTTGCCAGAAATGCGTACAAGTAGATTTGTAATACTACGTGACATAACACAGACAGACTGAAGACACATCCCACATAGAAGCACATGCATGCTATGGAGTGCACAGATCCTAGAAACATGTGTGTGTATATGTGCACATGTAAACACATACATATATATATATATATATACCCATGTATGTGTGTATGTCTTTGGATCTGTACATATATATACACACATATATGTGGCACGTCTCCCCGGCTCTCTCGTTCTCTCTCTGTCTCTTTCTTCCTCTCTGTCAACAACCTCTTCTAGATGTATACATGTCTGTTTGCCCGCCTGATCCACCCGCGCATCTTTGCGCACTCGTCGTGCACAGCCTTCTTCCGCTTCTCTGTGAGGCCAAGCTCGTCCATGTCCAAATCGGACACAAACTGCCCGGAAACCCAAACCTCCGACTCGGACTCGCGGCGCTTGATTTTTTTCACGGAGCGCCTGACGAAGAGGTCCTGGCAGGTCTCACCAAAAATCCCCAGGCAAGTGTCCCCGCTTGCCCATCCGTCCTTGTCAAGCCCGGACTTGAGGAACTCGGCTTCCAAAGCGGGGCGTTGACTCAAGTCCTTGTACTGGTCCACCAGCTCCTTCGGAACCAAGTAGCTTCCATCAACACGAGGAGCGAACATACGGGCCATGCGCTTCTTGACGGAGCTCAGCTTGACCTCCTCTTGCAGAATCTGCATGGCGTCAGCCACCATGTCTGCAACGTCATCCGACGGCTCCTGCTTCACCTGCGACCCACTCCAAGAAGCAGCACTACACAAATCTGAAATACACGTCTAGCTTCGCACATGCAGAGGCTTGCAGGACTCAAGTACAGCACACCCATGCACATACTATGAAGCCACATGTTCGGTGATTTCAGACCGATGCACCTGCTTCGAAGACTCGGGGCTTGACTCTGCAGCTGTTGTAGGGCTGCCCACCTCGGATGGCTTGTCACCAGTCCCTGTCGACTTCACCGGGGTGACCACCTTCTGCTGGGATGGCTTCTCGTCACTCGTTGTCGCCTTCACTGGGGTGACCACCTTCTGCTGGGATGGCTTCTCCTCACTCGTTGTCGGCTTCACTGAGGTGACCACCTTCTGCTGGGATGGCTTCTCATCACTCCTTGTCGGCTTCACCTTCTGCTGGGATGGCTTCTCATCACTCCTTCTTGTCTTCACCGGGCTGGCCACATCATCATCGTTTGTCTCCATCTCCTTCACTGGAGTGTCGAAATGCCCTGGCACCGTGGAAGCGGTGCTGAGTCGCCGAACCTGTCCAAAGAAGCATATACACCTCTCTCCCTTTCTATCTCCTCTCTTTTGCACATAATATCAATAAATGCACACACACATACATATCTGTGTGTATACATGTACAGTTACATATTTGTCCATGCATGCAGACGTGCAGATACACATGTGCAGGAAAGGTGTGTCTGTGTATATACATGCACGCACATTTGTACCAGTATGCGTACATACATACGATGTCTCTCTGTCTCTATACATACATGCATACATGTTAAAACAGGCATATGCATAGACACGTCCATGCCAACATGTCTGTGTATGTAGCAGCTATATGTATATCTCCAGTTGTCATCATAGAAGGTTTCAGAAACATATCATATACATACACACACATATATATATATGTATGTATGTATGTATGTATGTATGTATATGTCTATTGTCTTATATTATAACCCTATATGTGATATAAACAACTATCTACATATATATTTAGATAGAGAGAGGTCTAGTGCTGGAAAAGCTCAATCAAGAGGTCTCTTAGTTCATGCATATGTACAAGTTCATACATGGACAGATACAGAAACACCTATATATATATATATATATATGTCGACATATATATATATATATATAGGCTACATACCCACAAACACGTTATCCTCTACATTCGTATATGTATATATACATGCATATATAGATACACACATAGAGGTGTATACATACACATGTATGGCTACCTGGTAGGTTCTAGAGAAGCAGACCTGCAACGGTAATTTTGAGTACACGAATAGCACCTGAAGGGGCTCACCATTCGAGGATCTTTTGGCCGTGGGACGCGCCGTGGGACGCACGGGGGTCGGCACGTATGCTGCGGGAGGCACCTGATCCTTTGATTGGGGCTTGTGCGCAGTGGAAAGGGTCGAGCCTTCGGTGTGAGTGGAGGCAGGGCTGGAAGGCGAGGCCAGGGCGTTCTGGGAGTCCCTTGGGGAAACAGGCTGCGCTAGTCGGGCCTTTGCCGCCATCTTCTTCTTCAGGTCCTCAAGTAGTGCAATACATCTAGATATGTGGATGCGAAGACATGGACTAGATTCGCGACTAGATGTACTTTGTTGTCGAGATTGACGATTGAAACATATATATGTGTAGACAGATCTGCCTAGTCGGTTGCAGTGTTATATAGGCAGGATTCGCAACAGAACAACAACCGCTCCTCCAACCTCCGAAGCTCGCTGAGCAAGGTAGCCTTGTCAGCACTGTTAAGTTTCCTCCATGGAGCTTCTCGAACAACATCATTTCCATCATCGATGCTGTCCGTGCTATAAAGCTTGGACGGCATCTCGCGATGCATTGTCGTTCTCCTGCCAAACAAGCAGGGATCCTGGCAGGACACCAGGGCAGCTACAGCACACTCGAGCCGGCTTCAAGGGCCATTAAACTTTCTTTACTAGGGCATTCGACACAAAGCTGCATGTTGTTCTTACCTGCTTGCAACATCGAAGACCAGATTCATTGGCCATGCAAAGACACCCTTACTTTCTTGAGTAGAACGAACTTGAGATCATGCAGCCATGCCTCCCTTAACATGTGCAGTTCTGCATGGGAACAGATCGTTAATGTATATATAGACACATATAAACTGTGCACATGTACACATGTATATACACTATACATATATATGTGAGAGTTATAAGCAATTTTAGAGGTCCATAGGTATATGAATGCCTGTACATGCATGTATGCATATATATATATATATGTGTGTGTGTTCTCCTGTCTCTCTATTTGTATATATACATGAGTGTGTGTATATATATATGTATATATATATATATATGTGAGGTGTATGTATATATAAGGTTGAACAGAGCTGCATACCTCTAAATAGGTTCCGGTTACATACATACATATATATATATGGGTCTTCTGCACACGGCCTCACAGCCAAGGACATATATATGTAAAAAATCTAAGCAGACTTTCTGTGTTAAGGCTCTACCTTTTGTAAATGTACACAGACAGAGGCTTTCTTACATATGTACATATACATATATAAAAAAATGTACACCCATGTGCACATAGATGTGTATATATATATATGTACATGCATGCATCTCTCAACCCCTCGATCTTTCTCTCGCCAGCATCATGGCTAGGACCAAGCAAACCCTCGAGCAAGCCGGTTCCCAATCATTGTGGGTAGGACAACCTTACCTGACACAGACACACATGCTTATGTAACTATGCATACACACATGTATAGACATGTAGGAACGTAGCATCCTTATGCATCGGTATGGTGGCCTGCTTCTTAATTGGGCCCGGAGACTCACACAACACAGCATCAGCACCAATAACTACGAAGCCGAAGTCGAAGATCGAACTTGAAACATCCGCGGTGATACTCATTTCTCAGGCTGGCGCAGCGAGCCTGGAAGCAGATCCATGTCCCGGCAGAGCTGAGGAGCTTCGTGCTGGGAAGCTAATTGCATATGCAAGACTGGCTGCAAAAGCCCCTAGCATGCGCAACCTGCCCATGCATGCATAATCAGGATCCATGTTAGCTCGAGTATATATATATATATATATGTCTGTGTGTGTATCACGTATATATGTACATTTGCAAATACATCTACATTTATACATATACCGAGACCTCTATGTATGTGTATATATAGACACATGAGGTACAGACATGTGCATATGTATCGATCTATGTATATACATGTATACATACTTATATATATATATATATATATATATATTAATATATATTAATATATATTAATATATATATTAATATATATATATATATATCAATATATACATATATGAATATACACAATTGCATATAGATATGTACTCGTAGAGGTATACACACAGACATATATATATATATATGTACTTACCAGGTGTGTATATACATAAATCTGTTTGTATATAAGCATATAAATATGTGTATATACACGTACATGTATATCTATATATATATATATATGCATATATACGTATAAAAATTCCGATGTATGCTTTTTCATGGATACATATATATATATATATACACATAATTTTATAGAGTAATGATCATACACGTATGTACATACCTTTTCTGTGCATAATCATGTACACACGTGTATACGTGCTTATACATGTATATGTAGAAACATATATATATTGCGCATATATATATATATATCTACATATAGATGCATATAAATGATCAAGTATTAAAACAGATCTAGATCGTATAATCCACAAATATATATATATATATATATATACACACATTCTATATATATAAATATATATATACATAGACTTTGGTTCACCAGGACTATCGATCTATATGTACGTATCTATATATATATATATATACATATATACATATATACGTATGTATATATATATATATATATATACATAAACACGTAGAACCTCTCACTGTTTCACAATGAGCTAAGATTTGATATATTCATACATATGTATATACATATATGTATATAAGATTATATTTGTGATGTCAATATATATATATATATATATATGTATATATGTGTATATATATATATATACTAGTTGATGTATCTGACGATGAAAGCGAATTGTTCAAATTATTTTCTACAAATGGGATTTGTTCAAACCCCGTTTCTGCAAATGTGTTGCGGAGCGATGCACGGGAATTGTTCAAATTATTTTCTACAACTGTGTCCCCGGAGTGATGCCAGGGAATTGTTCAAATTGTTTTCTACAAACCTGCCCGGCCAGTAGGTAGCGAAACACATAAGATGGTCCAGGGCCATTGTTCATAATATTCTTTACAAATATAATATGAGGCAACCCCATGCCGTCAATGCATTGCACACATACTATAGATATATATCTATATATGTGTGTGTGTATATATATTTATAAATATCCATTATATGTGTATATATGTATGTATAGGACAATATATGTAGATATATGTGTATGTATATATATATATGTATACATATATACCACGTCAATGCGTGTCTCCCGCCAGCCTCCCGGCCGTTCCCGCCCACGCCGCCTCGACCACGTATATATAGTGTGTCTGTATATATATAGCGTACACATGTACCCTGGCAATGGTACAGACATGTAAAAAATAATTTGAACAAATTACGTTTTACATGTGCACGTGTACAACACAATTTGTTCAAATTATTTTTTGCATATGCACATGTAAAACATATTTTGTTCATATTATTTTGTACATGTGCCTCTTGCAGCTGGCCTGCTGGCCTGACACCCGACCCCGCCGTGCACATGCAGCGTGTATCCCTTGCGTGCCCAGTGCACACGACCTTCCACATGTAGCAAATAATTTGAACAATTCCCAATTTGCGTAACCCCTGCGTCAAACCACCATTTTACGTGTGCCAAAACGGCCGCCCGGCAGTTCCCGCCCGCGGCCCGAGCGTTCCCGCGCTAGGCCC